TTACCAGGCAACCTGTCTATTCTACAGACCTTGCGCCTTGCCATTGTGCGAGCTGTCCGCGATAGAGAGCATCACAACTAGGATCTCTGTCTTCCCAAGTAGCATAAAAACGTTCTCAGAATGTTCGGCGAATGTTAGAACAGTAACAGTAAAAACCGTTTTTGTTATGTTAGAAGTTCGCTCAGGACTAACATTCTCCTAACATTCAGCAAACATTCTCAGAACGTTTTACTGAAACGTTCCCGTAATATTCGGCGAACGTTACACAGAGAGAACAAAAAAATTTTTCGCGGCTTGCGTTTTTACACAGCTTCAAGATTTCAACTGAATTAATCTTTGAAGGCCCGATTCAGCTCGCCAATCAACCAATAAAACTCTATTGAAAGAAACTGGATCTGAAAAAAATCTTAAAGAAGATGGCAGGATTTGAACTCGAGACCTACCGTGTTCACAGTCCCTGCACTCAGTCCGCGAGACCACTTATTCCTTACTAGAATGTGATTATTTTTATCTACTTATTCTCAAGCTATCCTGTACACATTTTATTTATTTCTTTAAGTTATTATCTTATTAAAATAATATATATTGTGCAATAATATATTGCAGTGTAATGTACCCCTGCAACAGTGGATAAAAATATTCGTCTTATTATTATTAATTATTTATTATTATTATAATTTAAAATACATTTTTACAGCTCAAAAGATTTTGTCTCAAACAATGTTATATTTGTGTCAAATATATTTTATGTTACATTTAATTAATTAACGTTCGCCGAATATTACGGGAACGTTTCAATAAAATGTTCTGAGAATATTCGCCAAATGTTACCCAATTACGAGAACGTTTTTATGCTACTTGGGTAAATCTTAAATTTGTATAAAGTTTTAAAAAATTTCTAAACGTCCTCCGAATGTTCTCAGACTAACATGTAGGATCCAAGAAAAGTCGCAAATCGTAACGTTCTCTTTGTTTAGGTACGAACATTTCAAACTTATATTAGTTCAACATGTTAGATCAGTGTTCGGGGTCTAACATAAAACATGTCTAACACAAAATTAACATTTGCTGAACGTTTTCATGCTACTTGGGTTTGTCTTGTTGTCGCTGATTGGTTGAGATTTATACGAGTACAGTCCAACAGAAATCAGCGCTTAGCAATTTCATATTATAGTTCTATATTATAGTTCAGTGTTAGCCTCGCGCCATGTATGCGCAACGTGTGCGCTACGAATGGGCGATACAATAGAAAACATCGATATTTTGTATCAATACGTATTGCAAATAAAAAAATCGATACACTAAAAATATCAGATAAAATATATCGATATTAGGTCTGTTCTTTTTCCATACTTTGGCTGCACTAGTTCACGGTCTATCTTTTTCCTTTTAATACAGATAAAAAAAGATAGACAGTGAACTAGTGCAGCCAAAGTATAGAAAAAGAACAGACCTATTGTTAATATATCTCTATATTAGGAAATTTTTGGCGATCGTTTGATACATATACCAAAGTGTACCAAAGTATAGGTAGCATATATACAAATTATAGTTTGGTACACTTTGGTATATGTATCATACGATCGCCAAAAATCGTCTATTATAATATATATATATGGGTGCTTTCCAGTTAGAAACACAAATCGACAGAAAAGTCATTTTGTCTTTGTTTCTCAGTGATCATTGAACATAGACAGAATGATTAGGTCGATTTATATCGTTAATTGAAAAGCAGTCACACACACACACACACACACGCACACACGCACGCACGCACGCACGCACGCACAGAGAGAGAGAGAGAGAGAGAGAGAGAGAGAGAGAGAGAGAGAGAGAGAGANGCACGCACGCACGCACAGAGAGAGAGAGAGAGAGAGAGAGAGAGAGAGAGAGAGAGAGAGAGAGAGAGATAGAGAGAGAGAAAATATACACTGTGACGTTTTTCGGAGTTCTTATGGATTTCTCGCGTTGTCCCGTCCGAAACGGAAGTGCGAAATCGGGACACGGACGGAAGTCCGCGAGATCGGGAACATCTGTATCGGCAGGAGAGAAATGGGTGATAAACCGAGCACACCACTGCGCCGAGCCGACGGATCCTTAGTAAAAATTCTGGGCGCCAGACGCGTAACCGCGTCAAAATGTGCGTCGCTCGACACAATGGGCCGACTAGCTCTATTGGAACGGAGAGAGGTTGGGTCTGGACGATAAATAACCAAGGCTGTCCCGAACGAATCTCGGATTAGAATCGCAATCAACCACACTGCAGATAGAGAGAAAAATAAACAATTTATTATAATACCGCGGAGTAAGAGACGACTTTGCGAAAAGAACAAAAAAATTACAAAAATAAAGTTTGCCTATATGATACGGCGAGTTTGCTCTGTCGCGGCGGTAATTGACCACAAAAGAAAATAAAATAAAAGAAAATACAAAATTACGGTGACGATTAACAATACGCTCTACACACAGAAACGTAATCGATCGCAGGACCAACTTCTTATAACGACGCGTGACACCGGGAACGCTACGTCGTCGCGCTGACTTCACATAAACTCTACGTTACCAGGCAGTAGGATAGACAACGTACCAAGCGTTTTAATCAAAGCCTTCAAGAATCTGAAAGCGGCTGAATAGATTAATCTGGTCAAATCGTGCGCTTACTGCTAGGCGTGCCAAGGCGAGTCGCAAAGCGTAATATCTGCGCCGATGGACTTACTTGATCTCGCAGGGGCTAGTCGGGATTACGCCGCGTGCCTGCACGGCGCGAAGCTCTCGCCGAATTCCCGTCACTGGTCGCGGTGTACTTCAGCAGCCAATTATAAAGCAGCAAGCACGTGCCAATTAACACACCTGAGTAAAGCGCTCGCGAAATCGGAAGAGCTAGTTCAAGTTAGAATCGAAATGGCTGTAATCTTCGCCTGTTTCAAATGGCAAGTCCGCCGTGGAGTTCGCCACACGGAACGAGAGCTATGCGCTCCGATAGACCCCCCAGTACGGTACGATAGGTTTCTTCGATTCGGTACGATAGCGGTACGATATGTCTCTTTTGTTGCTCTTCCGAATCGCACATCCCTCACTCTAGGCAGATCACTTGGAAAATCCACACAAAATTGCCTTAGAAAATGTAATAGCGGTACGATAGAGTAGCGTGCGAGGTCAGTACAGCAAAGTGACCGATAAGCTGTAAATTTTACGCAGGACGAAACACGTTACGATAGCGTAAGGTTGATGATACGATAATCGGTACGGTATTCGGTACGATGATCGGTACGATACCCGGTACAGAATATGGCGGTCGCGAAACGATACGATAGATAAAAACTTGTACACGCGAGACACAACAAAATGACTAGGATGCTGCTTGGCGCGTTACTGGAACTCCAGGGCTTGTAATACTCAATAGAGTAATTACGCGAGACGCACTTAGACCTACGAACTAATACCACGAAGCCCCGTGGAATCCGATTCTAGCCGCTGCCGAAAATCCGAAACTATGGCGAAGGTTATGTCCTTGCCGGTACCAACACGCGAGATTCAGCGACTAGCCTCGACACGGGACTCGAGTAACGCGGATTCGTGGCTCACAATTAAACGAGGACACCTCACCGTACGTCGTCGTCGCTCTCCATCCAGAAAAATTGCCAGATTTGTCGTTGAACGATAGATCGTCGGGAGTGTCGTCCGTCCCGTTCGGTAGGTAGCGACCAAGAGAGCGAGGATCGCGATTGATTCGGGGTCGATGCGTCTGAGCGCGCTAGGATCGCTTAGGGTAGATCGCTGCGACCAATCAGGTCGCGAGGGGCGCTACACGCGACGCGATGCTCGCGCTCGGCGACAGGACCCGCGGCCGCGAAATTCAAATCGATTACCGGGCCCTCACTAGCGAAAATGCAAGCAGCAGAGATTTCCAAGCGTGGGATTCCGCAGATTCAACAAAGATGCAGCATGCGGTAGCGCAGCAGGATGGCAGCTGCAGGTTAGCAACGAAGGTTTGCAGCAGGCCTGTCCGATGCAAAAGGAAGGTCAAGGCTGTCTCCATCGTTGGGTGTTCGCCTTTCTTCCTCGGCTACCCAGCGCCGAGGTTCGCTGTCTTCGTCGCTGTCCTCTCCCGCGCCGCTTGTTCTTTGAGAGTCACCCCTCTGGCCGTCGTGCGAGTGCCTAGCTGCTCCTCCACGCACGCCCTTCTCTCTTGCTTTCTCTCGCCTTTATCCAACAATCGACGGATCCTGATACCTCCTCCAGTAGTGTGTTCTCGGTGTGGTAAGGCACCAAGAGCATACAAAAAAAATAACAGAATAAGCGACTAAATCTAGCGCACGCAAGCAAGCCCTGGAGGATCCTGGCGCTTCCCAGACGGTTCGCACCCCCGGACTCTCGCGATCATTCGAGCTGTTGTGGCGAGGGAATAGCGACGCGATTACCACGTCATAACACATATATCCATACAGTACAGCAAAATTGCAGCAAGATTGCAGCAATATTGTTGTGCAAGATTGCAACATTGCAGAAACATTGCAAAATGTTGCAGCAACGTTGTTGCAGCATTGCAGCAACAGTAAAATGTCCGCTTACAGAAATATTGCAATGTAACATTGCAGTATAATATATATGCAATAATACTTTGTGTGTGTATATATATATATATATATATATATCGGCATAATAGTTTTAATAACACATACAGAACAAAAGCTCCAATAGACATCTATTAAATGTTGCATAGAGCTGGTAATGTCTATGGCCCACTAAACACAGTATATAACAGTTATGTTTTTCCGAAGTAACAAGTAATGTTACATTTGTCCAATATAACGGTAATATAACATTGTTATTCAAAAATAATATAACCAAGGTACCGTAAAATTATGTTTAGTAGTTATATAACATTTGTGCGCATGCGCGAAGAACTTGACCCGCTTGGCAACACTGATATTTCAAGATGAGTTTCTTTTGGTATTGTTAATCTCCTGTATCAATGGGTGTGTTTTGCCGAAGTTAGTGCTACGTAGCGCTACGTAGCGCTAACTTCGGCAAAACACACCCAATGCAACAAGTAATTTCACTCTTTTATTCTTTTTATTAAACTATTTGTTTACTGTACATAATCTTTAATAGAAGTGTATATCATCTTATATTTCAGGGTATCCGGTATTTTGTTGATCTGTCGAAGTTGTGTTCAATAAGTCATCATAATCTCTTTTTTAACAGTATATATTTTTTACTGCACGTGATTTTTAGTTATATAAGGTACGTATATATTATAAAATCTTGTTTTAGATTAGAACTAAATTACAATCTTATTGAAAATCCCGAAAGATCCACGCTTTCTATCAAAACGCAGAAAAAATCAACTGATTCGCTCACGAATACAGTTTTATACCATTAATAGTAATAGTTCTGTTGAAAATACTCGCGCTTTAATAAATAAAATGTCAGCATATAATGTGGAAAAAAATATTGTCACTTCTACTCAAATAAAAAATCTTATCTGCTATTTTCCAATAGATGTTTCTTCAAAGTTACAAGTTGATTCAGTAGAAACAATAAATTCTATAGATAATAAATATATAGAGAGTGATTTGAATTTCAATGATACTTCGTTAAATATATTTGAAGCTAATAATGATACACGTAAGATATCTGAAAATTCTTTTAATTTACGTGATAAGCTTTTTTCATGGACACTTGCAGAAAACATAACACAAAAATCTATTAAATCTTTGTTACAAATTTTACGTGCTTGTGGTCACACCACATTACCTCGAGATGCTCGGACATTAATGCAGACTCCAAAAAACGCTACACGAGAAATTAAGAAAATATCAAGTGGTTCTTATATACACTTTGGAATAGCGAATGGTCTTTTATGATTAATAACCAAGTATTTCAAGGAATGTCCAAAGACTATTGATATATTAATTAATGTTGATGGCATATCAATATCTAATAGTTCAACAAGCCAATTTTGGCCTATTTTAATTTCTATTTTTACTGATATTCGCAATAAACCATTTGCTGCTGGTGTATTCCATGGTATGTCAAAACCAAATGATGCAAATCAGTATTTAAGTCTTTTAGTTACTGAACTGATTGTACTTGAGGAACATGGTTTTAATTACAATAGAAAAATGTGCAAAGTTTTAATTAAAGGAATTGTCTGTGATGCATCTGCCAGAGCATTTATAACTAATATAAAAAATCATTCAGGTTACTTTGGCTGCAGTAAATGTGTGCAAGAAGGAGAATATATTAATTCTGTTATTTTCCCTGAATATAATTGTACGTTGAGAACAGATGAATCATTTAAAATTAATATTAGCATTAATAGTATTATGATTTGTTATAGTTTTATTATAAAAATTGTAATGTACATTTTATTATAGAAGACATTCAGACCTTAAAAAAATGGTTGCAGCATCCGACATTCACTTTACAAATATTCAACAACGTATGGATCATATTACGCCAGGAGTACTACCAAGTGTTTCTATAGATCGAATAACAAAATGTTTACCTTTGAAAACTATTAATGATATTCTTCAGATGGAGGAGAAATTAAAAAATGAAGGAGAAACATTTATCAACAAATATAAAACTTTTGTCCGAAAAATTGGTGGTCATACTGCGCGTGAAATTATTAGAAATGTATTATCACAAGTATTTACAAATAAATGTGCTTTGCAATGTTCGTGGAAGGGTCGCAAACAAAATTTTGAAGTTGCTTCTTTATGTATCATAAAATATATGAGAGAAGTAGTGTTAGACATGCATCAAAATTATACTAAAAAAGAATTTGATGAAGCCACAAGTGATTGGCTGCGTTTTGCTAAGCAGAGATTCACTAGAGAAACAAAGTTAAATAATGAATAGATTACATAAAAAGAAGAAAACTTATACGAAACAATATAAAATAAAATAAACAATAACAATATTAAATCAGTTTTCCTGTGATAAATTCAAGTCACTATTCATATTTAAAGTGTACCAAAAGATTGTTTCTTAGGCTGTGAAGCAGACGTATTAGGTAGATTACGTATTGTTATAAAGTAAAATTTAGTTGAGGTTCCTAATGCATAGAAGTTTAAGTTTAAACTTACATTAATGTTTGACATAATATTTTTTTTTTTAAGTTTTGATAATATTATTTTTGTAAAAGTTCTAATAATATTATTTTNTTTAAGTTTTGCGGTTTTATTGCTACGTTTACTTTCAAAAAAGTCTTATGTACAGATTTTAAATTATCATACATAAATTACCAAGGTTGGGTAGTGTCTAGTTAAAAAGATAAAAGTTAAGTTAAAAAGTTAAAAAGTTAAATAATTTTAACTTTATCTAGTTACATTTTTAGACTCTTATCTTTTAACTTTATTTAGTTATATTTTATCGGTAACTAGTAACTTTTTATT